ACTGTTTTCACCCTTCCCAACTGTTTTTCTCTCTCTCTCTCTCTCTTTCTTCCTTTCTTTCTTTCATTCCTCCTCTCTCTCATTCTCCATCCTTCTTTTTCGCCTCACCTCTTCCAGTCATTCCAATAAGTTATAATCATTTTTACGTAACGACTAAGGATTTTTATGAGGAAAATTATGTGTTGCATATTCTTGGCTGGTACACAGAACTCACATTATAATTTGAAAAAACATCAAAACATCGACCTTCCGCGAAGGAAATGTTCACAATAGTACGAATGGCTCTCCTATGCACAACTAGCTCACCTCCTCGCAGACGGCGTAACACTTCGGTGTGATATTTCATTCGAGAAGAAGCGTCATAGAGCTTTTGCACGCGGCTAAACAATGTTGAATTCATCCAAGGGGGCCAAGAATGCGTGTCGTTATGTTGAAGCTGAAAATATAATCTCCCCAATTTTCGGCAAAACGTTACCAAATCCCATAATTCTTATTTTTACCATGCAAAAAAGGTTGTCGTATATCATCCACAACATGTAGAATTGAAACTTCGGGACTTGAGAGTGCTTTCGTAGATATGTAATAAGATCCTGGTTTTCCAACTCCATTTTGCTTACCACACCTGATTTCCATACTTTGCTGAACTCTGCTGCTGCCGTAGGGCACTCGATGTCTTCGTAAAGCTCCTAAGATGTGACAGTATCAAGCGAAACGAGAAGAGAATTAATTTGGTGCAGAAAGACGTGGAGAAGGGCAAACGACCTTGTAATATTCCGAATTGGCTGTTAACATTATGAAGCTCACATAAGTAAGACAAGCATACGAACTCAACGACAAAACGCTAACAACAGAAGCTTGATAAAAGTATTTAAATATTTTACGTACAGATAGAATTTTAGATGCCTTACTCCACTTCTACGTATGTAACTATCCTACTTAAGAACTACTCAGTGCAATGTTCCTGACAAAAAGCAATGTTTGAGCAAAGTCACTGGCAGCGACTGCTATGGCTAGATTCACGCATGGCTGATGAATCTCTTGCAAAAATACCGCTCTTCCACTTTTTTCCAAACAATCGTTTTCAAATGTAAAATTTATAAACCTTATCGATTGATCTTGGAAAAGAGTGAATGGGCACTGGTTGCCAAGCCAGTCCCGTATCCCACATTTCAGATTTCGATGGAGGAAACAGACCTGAAAAGCATGATAAATACTCCTATTCTATAGTGACTTGATTCCTTTAAGATACAATACCAGCCATATTTGCTTGCGCCGACATCAGTGTTCTATTATAGTCGCTGCTTCGTACAAAAACCTGACTGCGATCAAAATAAGTTCCTAACCACTTCCCATAACGAGCACGCAGCCATTTACCGAGGCGATACTGTTGTGCTAAAGAAACAAATTTTCATACAAGGAACAGATTAAGCATTGCCATCTACGGGACATAATTGGCCCGAGAAACTCGAAATTCATCAGTTTTGAACTATCTTACCCTATGCGCTACAAAATGCCTAAAGTACTAGAAATTTGTACTTTTAGAAAGGAAGGAACAACCTATAACAGAATAGAACAAAACTTTAAATTACCAATTCCCTTCTTGGTCAGCTCTCCCAGCCCTTCGCTCCAAGTACCTGAATCACAAAAGGGTACTGACGCAGCTGGTGTTCGATCTCCATGTCGCCATGCCTAAACAAGATCACTTAGAGTGCCCTCATTATGCACTATATGGTTTTCTTTAGCACATGGTCAGGACAGGATTCCCTGGTGAAGAAAACGAGAATCAGATCGGATCTTCATTAACTATTCAATAACGTTATATCACTGCATGTATCAAAATTCCACTAGGTTGAGTTTTGCTAAGACTTTGTCTGGGATTGTTCTTCGACGCATGGATGATGACCACTTACTTTTTTTGATAGACCTCACTGTGGTAACTCAATAGGCAAAAGCAGGATCTCGAAAGACAACCCCGAAAGTCTTTCCCTTGCTGGTCATTTGAACTTGCACTGAAAATTCGAAAAAAAAGTCTCTGTTGTTTCCTTATACCTTTACTCTAAATAGTAGTCCCTGAAACAACAACAACCGAGATTTTGGCCATTCTAGCAGAGAAGCCTCCCTGTGGAGACGGTTCAGCTGTTCACGGGACAGTGGAAGTGCAGGATAAAAAGCACAAACTTGTCTAAAATTCTAATAGGATGGTTTACTTAGTTTTTTCGACCAGATTCTTCTTTAATATTCTCCAATCAAAATTGATAATGCGCATCGAGATTGCTTTCGTATTCTTCATGGTATGGTCACTTTCTAATAAGAAAAGTCACAACTGCCGGAATGGCTGGTGCGCGGCCGCAGAAGCCTACGAAGCACATTAGTGGTCATACCAGTTGCAGGAAACTCCTCACGCAATGCGATTCTCAGGACGTCTCCACACTTCTTAAGGATCGGCCGATCCTTGTAATGCTTACAAGAGCGACAAAGATAGTGGATGCGGCAAAGGTCCATACGAAATTAAGCTGAGCTCCTAACTCTGCTTGCCTACTTTCTTATAGGGAGTTTGACCTTACTCCTTCCTGCAAGCAACTTAACGTTTTCAGGAATCGACTCCTAGTAGCGCAGAGTCGCTTTACCACAAAGGGATGAGATTTTCGGTAATATTTCGCTCCCTATGACTAAGGTTTTCATGGACTACATAACAAATTAATGCATTTATTGCACCAATGGAACAAACTCTGTTAATCTATCTCACACATTTCACTGCCTTCGTGGAAATCCTAATCTGTTTGACTTATAAGTTGCTATAATCCTTGAAAAAGTTGCACAAAAGACTAAAGACAAAGCAGACTTGCCTTAAAGACAAACTATATTATAAGATTCAAATAATATGGCGAAAATCTCATCCCTATACTCCAGAGCAAATTCGACTCATGAAAACCTTAACATTATGCAGAGGGAAATCAAGCCGGTTTTTGAAGAAGAAAGCGTAGCATAATTAGAAGCTGGACTGAATACCGACTAATATCGATCTTTTGCAGCAACCGTGCTGCCTCGAAAGCCGGTTGTG